ACCAATGCATTATGCCTTTGTGCTACTTTAATATGTTAATTAAAATTTTTCCTTTTAACTTTATAAAATGATCACTATGTTTTGATGATACTTTAAAATATGCTAATTAAAATTTTTCCTTTTAACTTTATAAAATGATCACTATTTTTTTGATGATACTTTAAAATATGCTAATTAAAATTTTCTTTTTAACTCTTCATAAATTAATTAATACAAACCTCGATCATCATCATATAATTTGACGAGTACATTAGCAGCAGGTCGTCCATTACATGTTAATGTACCTCTTGCACCGCTACTTTGTGTTATTCCAATCAAACCACCAGCCAAACAAGATACGATAGGAAAACCGGTAACTAATAGTAATAAACAACGGAACATCTGAAATTTTCCTTTCTTTTTTATCTTTAAAATAACGAAATAAAACTCTCCCAATTTTATGTATCACCAAATGGAAAAAAAGAGAAATTATATTTCCAGAAATTTTCGATTATATATCAAATAAAATTGTGAGCAAAATATATACATAATACTGTAAAATAATGTTTAGACAAAAAATATTTTTATAAACTATGAAATAAAAAAAAGGAAAAAATGTTTAATATCTTTTTTTACTAACAAATATGTTTATGTGGTTATATGTAATTATATGTAATTTATATGTAATTTTATATGCAAATATGTTTATACGTAAAAAGTAAATTTTGCCTTTGTCTTTTTTTTTAAATTTTAAATTATATTCTTTCTTTTGCAGCAAATGGAAGAAATTAAAATTTCAAAAAGGGATAAAAGAGAGAGAGAAAAAGAAAGCGGAGGAATAAATAGTTGCGGAAAAAGAGAAATAAACAATATTCTTTTGCTGATAGCTTAATTAAATAATTATTTTAAGCAATTGTTAATTAATGTAATCGTAAAATTCTTTGAACAATTTACAAAATACTGAAAGTAAAATTATAAAAATTTTTCATTACAACAAATTATACATTTTATTTGATAGCAAAAATGTTAGTCGCAAAAAGAAAGCATTTTAATTTTAATCAAAAATATTAGCTAGTATTAAATAATATTAAATATTCAAAGGTTAAAATGACAACATAGAAAATATGTATAAGAAATTGGGTGAGCAATCGAAGATGTGTGGCTGTTGTTCAAATAATTTGATGAATGAACCATTCTAACATTTCAAGTTTTCAATCACACAATAAACAGTTGTTCCATACAAGCTGTCATAATCATTCATGGTACTGCGAGCAATCGTTTAAATATCATTTATAATGATATTTAAATGTTATTATTATGGCAAGTGCAAATTTCTGTAAGTGTAATGTGCACTATACTACAGTATTACTAAATTCATTTATTGATTTATTTTAGCAAAATATACATTTACTATCAATAATTGTGATAATAATAATAATAATGATGAAGTTACCTTATCACTAAATTTATTTATTTATTTTAATGATATTATTATGGTAAATACAAGTTTTGTGAGTGTAATATGCAGCATACAGTATTACTAAATTTATTTGTTTATTTATTTATTCATTTCAGCAGAATAAACATTTACTATTATCAGTAATAGTAACAATAATAATAATAATAATAATAATAATAATAATCTTACGCCTAATCTTTTGGCTCGAACTATTGAAACAGTTGAGGGAGGTGGTGTGATTGTATTGTTGCTAAAGAGTGTCAGCTCTTTGAAGCAATTATATACAATGACTATGGTAATTTTTTTTGAAAA